GGCGGATTTTTGTAAATAGCACAAACTGAAGATGTGATCAACCTCGATTTCGACGAACTCCGGCTTACTCTTCATGACTGTAATTTTCCCTGGTTCCAGTCCGAGGCAAGCAAGGTTAGTATGATCCCTCTGTAGTTGTTGCATTCCAAAGATAAACCACCCTTGAAAATAGGAACTCTAACAGAGCGGCTCCAGTCTGTTGGACAGTTTCCTACTGTCGCAGTTTTACTGATAACTCGGCCGGTGGCCGAGTGGTCTGCGCGTTTGGTTTGCAACAATAAAGTTGCCGGTACGAATCCGCGTAAGGGTGGGCGTCCTCGCGGTATACTCAGCCCGCGCGCGACTGGTGGTGATTGCGCGACAGCGAAACGCCGTTACGGCGTACAGCTGACACTGATAACTCGTGCAAATCTTTAGCAAGAACAGATATCCTGAATATGGGGTGTTTACAGAATATTTATCTGCTCCTGCGGCCTTATTCATTTTCAACAATTTGATCTTATATTTGACTTCTGCGTGAGAAATTGGATCTAAAGGGAGTCATCAGCTTGCCAATCAAGAACAAGTTAGCTGGTAGTTTTGGTCGACTAAATTGCTTCTCAGAGTGTTCAGCCCATCATTGCAAGCCTATTGGCAGCTTATGGAAAGGCTGCCCGCTTGCGTCGATCATAGTTTCAATAAAATCAAGTTTCATTCTGTTTTTTTCTGTATCAGACGGAATAACTTCTGATGGTTACCAAGTGCAACGGCTGTTTCCATCTTCGACGCATGATATGACAACCAAGCTTCGCGATCTCGCTTCGGGAGGAAAGGAATTAAAACATTCTTAGCACGCCGGCACATCGTACAGCCGCTTCGCTGTCACGCGACCACAAGCGGTTGCCCGTGGGATTGAAGATGAAATCACGAATTGTATAGCAAAAGCTCGGGGTGCTTTTGCTAACCTTCGCCACCTATGGCGCCGGCGCGACATCACTCTCACCCTGAAGGGTAGAGTGTACAATGCAGCAGTACGTTCGACTCTACTGTACGGTTGTGAAACCTGGCCGCTTAAAGCAGCGGACTTGAAGAGGCTAGTTACGTTCGACCACCGGTGCCTTCGTAATTCAGCTCACATTTGGTGGGAACACCGCGTGAGCAACGAGCGTGTTCGGCGGCTTGTTTATGGCACAGGAAAAGGAAATGAACCGCTCAGCACCGTTATTTCTCGCATCAGGCTCCGATGGCTCGGCCACGTGTTACGCATGCCAGCCCACCGACTTCCGCGGCGTGTGTTGTTTGCGCGCCAGGGGTGTGGATGGAAGAAGAGGTGGGGTGGCCAAGCGATGATTTGGTCGAGAGGAATGAAAGCCCTCACTTCTGAGCTGGCCTCGGTTTGAGCGTCTCGGCTCCCTGGTTGGTGTCCGAAAGACGATGAACACGTTTGGTTGGATACACTTGCTGACATGGCGAGGAGCCGACCTCAGTGGCGTTCGTGCTGTGAGTTTCTTTGTCCCACCCCATCCCTCTTAGCCTCCCCCTCCAACCACGATCTCATTATTTAGGTTTATATAATTTTGCATAATTTTTTTGGGTGCACAGCAGCCGGCTGGTAGCTTGCCGGAACGATGCCCATCCGTTACCGGTAGCTCAGCCAGCTTGCACCAGTTGCATTTCTCTCTTTTTCTATGTATTGCGGCACGGTAGCTGAGGTGTTCCCCACCTCTAGCTAACGTGTATGATGATGATGATGATGATGATGATGATGATGATGATTATGATGACCACAAGCGGTTGCTCGGGGACTGGGTACACCTAGAGGTTGCACACACCTTTGCGGATTTGAATCCGTGGCCTACGGATTACACGGCAAACTCATAATCCTTTCGGACACCGACCATGGCTCGGATGCAATTTCGCTCTAAGCGGTACGGCTTTCCTTTTGTTCACTCCCAGTTGAAACGTGTCGGCCGGCTGGCACGTAGCCTAAAGGTAACAAGCCTGCCTTGCAATCTAACAGCGCGGGTTCGAGCCTGCGTAGGGACTAGATGACCCTCGCAGTATCCTTAGCCCACGTGCAGTTTATGGTGGTTGCGCGGCAGGGAAGCGTTGGTACTGCGTACCGGCGTACTGCTGCTGCCTTCAGAAGTTTCAAGGACTGCATGGAAATCCATTGCCTATTCTGGCAATCCAATTTGCAGCACGAAGCCATCTGCAGCTAATAGCTTCTGCTGAACATATTGTCTGGGATTTTCGATTGTGTTCATGGGTGTTCAACCAGGTCGCACATTGGCGTACTTTGATGTGTATTCAGCATATCTGGAACCACTAGTTAGTGAGCGTCTGCACGCTCACAGAAACGCCATTGACGTCCACCAAAAGCACTCGCTGGTTGGCATACACAATTGAGTGTTCGAGTCCACACATTTGCTCCAAATCAAGTGGCAATTTTGGACGCAGTGCCTCTAGCAATATGTGATCGCAATGTGGTCAATTTGCTTCCATGACTACTCCCAGGCTGGTGAGCGCTACGTCGAAAGTTGCCGCTCGCGAGAAAATAGACCATCATCTTCATCCAGGTGTACCAACTGCTCACTGTTTTCATTGCGGGAGCCGGCATCGCGTTGGCTACCTAAATGCAGCTACTAAGTTTACAAATTCTCTACTTAAGCATTCAAATCGTCTGTCATCACCGCAGTTCTTTTCATATATCGGAGGAACTTCAGTTGACTCTGTCATATTACACCAAGTCAACGCTACAGTTTGTGCAGACCTAAGTAGCGATGACAAACAAGCACACTACTTCGAACCAACCAGTCGGACGGTGCACATTCGGCTACTGGTTGGGATCTTATCTACCAGAGTAGATTCAGGTCGTTTGGCTTAGAACAATGTCCACACCGACTTGACCGGCATTCGAAGCTGCGCCCTCTCTGGTCAGGTGCAATGAGAAAGTGTCACTAGTGTCGTATGAAGGGTATTTCAAGGTGATAACAGAGTTGAGGTATTGTTTTCAGGTTTCCGATGAGCAGTAGATATCGATCGATAAGGTCTCTAATGTTCTCGGAGGTGCTGCGTGTCGACCGATTTGCAACAAAGCATATACACTGAGGCATCAGTTGCTTTCTTTCGACTGGCACTCCAACGCGCGCTTGATCTAGCTGTGTGACCCACGTTTTCACCACCATCATCACAGCCACCACCGATGTTATCATTCCATTATTTTTATTATTATGAGTAGCAGTCGTAGTGGTAGTAGTAGTATAGAATAACTGATGGTTGTATAGGGGGAACGGGCGAGAATTAACATCTTTGGGTGAATTACTTAGGTGTCAAATGCAATGAAATACGGGCAAGGGTACCACTGGTTACGTCGTTACGCCATATCTGGTGGGATCCTAACCACTATCATAGTCGGCTCTGAGATCCACACCTGGCGAGCACAACTCCTAATTAGACTTTCGACGAGTTGTCATAATCTTTTTCATATCATTAAGTAGTCATCTCCGCAGCTGTGCTCAGTTAGTGTGGTATGGGTCAAGGGAACGGGATTTGACGGCATTAATGGTAGCCGATGGTGTGCAACTCGTTATTCATGATCTACCTAATAATCCCCACATGATGTTTATCACCTCTATTCTAAAACCTTTTTCGGTGGAATCAAATGTGAATACGTTTTTTTCTTTGCGCTTCTGATCCTTATACGGAGGGCGTCTAATTTGAATTTTCGAATTGCGTTTGCATTCGTTAGGCATCTTATAGTACACCATCTAACAAAGGTGTACAAAACTTTTCCACGGCAGTCAAATTTCACTCGCATCTTCTAGCTAGTTCTCGAAGTGCTGCATTCATGCGGACACTCAACTAACTCCGTCATCCGCACTCTTCATAACGGTTTCGCGCGTTGATCATGCACAGTAACTGGATGCCAAATTCATTGTTTGGTCTTGGAGTACTCCGTCCACTGGATGCGGTCCCAATAATCAAAATGGCAAATGTTTGTTTCAAAGTAAACAGTTGCTGCCATTGAGATTGTGTGTCGCAATCTAGCCACAAGACCGGTACTACGAAACCCAGCACTGAAATTCTAAACGTTGTGTCAATCGCTGCTTGCGGAGCTCTGACTTATTAGCCTAGGCTTAAGCCGTAAATCACTGTCGTGTATCACTCAGCTCATGCTATCTTTACCGGAAGAATACAAATCAGGACGAAACCGGTCTGTCGTGGAGTACAGTGTTGGGTCTGAGCAGCACCGAGACTATCCACTTTCAATGCGGTCCCAGTGATTGTAACGACAAAGCTTTGCTTCAAAACCAACCTTGGCCTCAATCGACATTGAGTGTCGCAGTCCAGACACAGCGAGCTTCTAGCTGCTGTGTCGAGAGCTGCTCGCGGAGCTTTAGCTTAACGGCCACGACGTAAACCACGAATCACTGTGTCGGGTACCGCTCTCAGCTCAGACTGTCTCTACCGGGAGATTCCAAATCATGACGAAACCGGTCGATCATGGAGTGTAGTGTTAAGAGAGATCAGTTCATTTTCACTGTGCTTGTCTGGAGTCCATTAAATGTTCTTTATTGTTTTTATTTTTGCCATGTTTTTCTTCGACTTGAACTTCTTGCCTGCATAGTACTTTTTCAAAACAATTGTATTCCTGTTATTACTTGCTTCTAACTATTTCGCACTGCCCAGGTCTTCAAATTTGATATCTCTGTTTGTTTTGATCACGACAATGAGATTGAGCTATGTTGTTTACGTATGAGGAGAATCACAGTGTTTACGATTTTTCGTGCGCATTATGATATGTTATTAACCCTATGATGCCGCTGTTTTCCGCTCCACTTTCCTTTGTTTTCCCGTTGTTTGCGGCTCATTCTCCGCAGAATATTTGTATTAAGGTCATGACTTCTATGCGTTGCTTTCTTTCACTCCTTCCTCGCATTTACGGACACCTTTGGCATCTGGGCTGTCATTGAGCTACTACTTGACTTGTTTTCAAGGAACATGTTTCCTTTTTTCAGATGTCTTCGGATAACCACAATGGACCGGAAACCTTCAAGCTGGAAGTCAAAAGTGAGCAATTATTCTGTCTACTTATGTTGCTACACCGGGAACTTATTATAATGAACACATTTTGCGTCATCTGAACAGAGTTCAAAATACCAGTTTCTATTTTGTTGATAATTTCCATCGTGACGAAAGTGTGTCTTGACGTGATTCTATAGTTTACGTACCTCCGTGACCCATTGAGCTACTCCGACTGACACTCTCCAAATGCTCTCAGATCCACACATACCAGGCAGCTCGATGGTTATGACTCAAACCAGCACAGTCTCAGGATCCGCTTCGGAAGTTAGGAAGAAGTCGATAGCCCTCTTCCTTTAAAAATAAGCCATGCAAGACAACAGGTGATGGGTTATAAGCTTACATCTCGAGTGGCCTAGAGGACGAGTGCTACGTATTTTCTCTGACGGTGGGAGTGTGCCAACATCCAGGCAACCTCATCAAATAATTGCAAACCTTTGAGACTGGACCTTAACCTGATGCGATAGTTTGTGTGTCTCAATGACCCATTGATCATTTCTTGGTGATGCTTTCTGCTCCTTCAGAGCCACTCATACTAGATTGCTCAAGAGTCAAAGGCAAGACAAACTCAGTCTCCTGACCCTCCAGTTTTGGGGTTAGAGTGAGGGTGGTTCCTACCTTCATAAAACGGACTTTCTCTAACCAGATGCCAAAACCCCACTGCCTTGCGGTTTGCTTTTCAACCAAACGCTTTGTTTGAGAACCCTCGTCGTTCTCCTGTCTAGGCCTGGGCATTCTAACAGTATGCTGCTCGCGCAATGTGATGAAACTTTAATCAAACAATTACTTGATGGTCTGGCCGCTGCAAACGGTAATCAACGGTGCCCTTTGGGCTGCATTGAGCAATGGAAAGGGGTGGTGATGCTGTCGCCCAAACCTCCCTGCCTTCGTATCCACCGCTTGCGCTTTTTTAAATCCTTATCGTTCCAACTTCACTTTTCTCCCCCTGATTTCAACCCCTAGTTCTTGGCCCTCCCCATCTTGCTTTGATAATCATTTGTCTTCCATTTTCAACGCACGCGCAATTGCAGGGCTTCGTACTAGCCCAGTCGACAATCCCATGTTCAAGCAGACGGGCAACATCAATTCACCCGTTCTTCTTTGGAGCCCTCGATCCTCGCTGAGACTAGCAGGTCTCAACGGTCGTACCTTGTTAATTGGCGAAGGGGCAACTCTTGTCCGAACGGGGCGGGGCTTTCATATTGGCCGTTGCTGTCTTTTCTCCTCGGAGTACTGTTTGTTACGCTATTTCCTGCGGAAATCTTTATTTTATTTTGCTGCTCTCGGAATTTTCTTTATCTGAACCATTCTAATGTCATCAGTGGTACCCTACTCTACCGAAACGCTGCGCGAAGGACACCATATGCCGAATGCGGTAAAAGGGCCAGAAACACCACCAAACGAATTTTCAAAAAAATAGCATTTTGGTAAAAGGAGGAAACATTGCGCTATTTGACAAGTTGGCTTCAGATACTCTCCTGTAGATAGAGAACAAATCCCGCTGATTCTCTCCAACAATTTGCGCTCTCTTCTCGGAAAAATCGCTGATCTTACTGCCACTGTGATGCTTAAGGAATTTGCACATAACGGTGTTGTGATGCTTCAAGAAAGTTGGCTCTATCTTGACCTTGAGGACGAGGTTATCCAACTCAGTGACTACCGTGTCATAAGACAGCTAGGCCTGGAAAGCCGCATAATCGTGGAGGATGCGTCATCAGGTACTTCAGCAAACTCTGATGTAAATCATTAGCCTTGGTGTTTACATACTCAACCTCAAAGGTTAGCTGCCATTTAATTGAATGTAAGCCTACGCTTTTGAGCGGATTTCATTCTGTAGTCATTGAAAATGTCTGTCTAGCTCCTGGCACATCACCATCTGAGTTGAAGCACTTTTCCGATTATTTTTCCCCAGCGTTACTGTCCAAAATCGAGAGATCCCTTTGTATCGTTGTTGGTGATTTTAACAGGGGTGACACGGCATTCATCAAATCTCTCGGTCTAACAAATATGGTGAACTTCGAAACCAGACTAACGCACAGTTGGATTTTGTTTTCTGAAATACAACTCAGTTAGTTTCTACACTAAAATGGGCTCTTCTCGGCAACTCAGGTCACTGCATTCTGAAGCTGTGCCCAGTTATGTACTGCAAGACCAAATTGGTCTCATTGACAAAGAAGCTGTTCATAATCGTCAGACGGAGAGACTGCTCGACAGAAAATATTGCAAGACTCCAGGCGACGTTTGCGTCAACTGACTTTTTAGTTTTCAAGAACAAAAATCCACCTTTGGAGTGTAAGCACTTGACTGCATACATTAAATACTGCTTCGATTAGTACTACCCTGTTGCGACCATCTACCTACGGATGGATAGATTTTTTTACCGCTACTGAAACAACTTAAGAGAAAGAACGAACAAGCTTATAAATGTAAAATGTGTGCGCAAGTTAGAAGACTGTCTTTGGCTTTCCAATCCGAGGTAAAAAGATTGAATCGCCTTTAGATTGAGACAGTGCTGGGCTCTCGCGGTTTCCAGAAACTATGTAGACAAGATTCCCATAAGCGCATTGATAACGTGGATTTGAACAAACTCAACGCTGAATTCTGTTCTTTACAACAAGGTATTAACTCTGCCCCACTTCACCAACACTTATCAGGTAGTCACCTTTGACAGGTTTAATGTTTGATAGGAACTCAAAAAATAAATAGGGCTATTTCACCCGATACATTATCACCATTTGTCCTAAAGCACCGTGCAGATTATCTTGCGGAACCTTTGCCCGTAATTTTCCATCGGTTTCTTATGGAGGGCACTATCCCTAACATTTGGAGACCTGTTAGGATAACACCTGTTCCAAAGAAAGACTTAAAAATATCGTCCAATAGCATGTACATCGGTGATGTTGAACGTCTTTGAGAAACAACTTGCTCCTCAGATTTTTCACACGCACCAGAACAAGCGATATATGGTTGCTGGCATCCATTTTCGAATTAGCCTGCCACTGTGGCAAATCACAGGATGCCTGCGCCCTCAGAGGGAACATGGGTGGCTTGCGCTGCACCACCCGCAGTTCCAATCACACACCCAATATCCAGTTTAAACCCGAAGAAATGAGACCGGGAGGCATGTGGTTGGCAGCCACGTTTCATCAATGGAGCCGGCCCACACTCCTTCACAGGCAAACACAAGCACGCTATATTTGGGAATCAATCGCACCCAAGGCGGTGGCTGGACCGTAGTCCGCTCCGCACTGAGTGCATAGAACCACTCTTCGAGCCTAGCACGGCCATAAAGACCGTGCTCCCCCTCCTCTTCAGCAACGAGCAGCTGTCTGCTGGAGCCAGTATGGACGAGGTAGTGGGTAATAGACAGGTAGGCACCTTGTCAATATGCATATCAAGCACAGCCACACCGGGAATATCAAGTAACAGCTAATCACTTGAAACGACAATATCAACCAAAATAAAGCGAATAATGCATACAGCTACGGTGATATACCTCTTCAATAAATTAACATATAAAATGAATTGGTTACGAACAAAACCGAGATTAGTTCAAGACGACAGAAAATATATTTTAAGAAAATGTCACAAACGCGAAAATTTTATCGAAATTAACTGCATTTGGCTTCAGCGACGTGTGCGAGTTTATAGAAGATAGTTCATGTAAACATTAATATGAGATAAAATGCATAAGGACAAAAGAGCAAACCCACCACCTGAAATAAAGAGACTCAGCATGCAAATACGCGGTTAGTAAATCGAATGCAGTGTACTTACCAAAGCAGCACGCGGTCTATCTACATTCTTTGCAGGACCCGTCGTCGTTTCGGTGTTGGTCCCAAGTGACCTCGCCCATGACTCACTAGGCATGCCTGACTCAGGCACTCGTGACCGCATGTGCTACAGCATCCGCCGGTGTCGATGGAGTACAACCCATCTGCACCCGTCGCTTCCGCAATTGCCGCCTATTCCCTGCATGCACGAGGGCTTTCTCTTACACCTCGGCAACGGCCTTTGTGATCAGCTCGCCCCATGCACACCGATCAACCGCCTTCGATTCCCATGACCAGCAACCAAGTTTAAAACATAATCTCACCTTGATCATGTTCTGGTAACGAAGCTTCGGTTTCTCCACATGCCGCTTCCCAACATTCGGCTGACCACATAATGGCTGATTCGGTATCCTCGTCGAATCCATACGGCTCACATGACCGCGCCATCTCAGGTGTCTCAGCAAAAGTATGCAGTCCACTGCATACATTCCACTTCGGCGCTACACTTCCGTGTCCGCAATTTTGTCGTACCAACCAGTGCGCAGAATCTCTCGAAGACACTCTTGATGGAACCGCTCGGGATATCGCACATCCCGCTGGTACATCGTTCACGTTTCGCTGTCGTATAGAAGAACGGGCAGCACCATGGATTTGTACACCATCAGCTTCGTGCCAATGGTAAGCTGATGGTTGTTCCACACTCGGTATTCTAGCTTCCCGAATGCCGCCGCTGCCTTCTACGCGCGGATACGAAGCTTACTGTGTAGCTGCTGGTCAGTCGACACCACACACCCAAGGTAGCAGAAGCGGGAAGGGGTTTCCAATACGTCATCACCAATGCTGTTTGGCGGCACCACTGTTGACTGCACCTCCGGTGATGGCTGAGAGATGCAGACAGTTTTGCTTGTGTTGATGGTGAGCCCGAATTTGGTCGCTGTCGAAGCCAGAGCACTAGTCATGTGCTGCAACTAATCCGCGCTGTGTGCAAACAACGCACAGTCGTCAGAAAACAGCAACATACGGATAGTTGTCTCACAAACTAGGGTTCTCGCACCGAAACGACGGGTGTTCAGCACCCACCATCCATACAGTGCTCCACACGAACACCGTAAGCACAAGCGGCATCAAAAGCACAGAACAACATTGTATGAAGACAAATATTAAACAGGGTAGGAGCTAAGACACAGCCTTGCTTCACACCAGAGATAACTGCAA